CCCCCCCCCCTTCTACAACCTGTTTAGTATTCTTGTAGACCCTTTTGGGACCAACAAATGACAATAAAATGCATCAAGAAGTTCGTACATGTATTATTTTAGAAGTTCGTACAAGCGAAGGAAGTATTAATTGCATGCATTGGCAATAGAGCAATTGTCCTGTAGCATGACATGGTCAATGTTCCAGAGGGGATCATAAGTTTCCAACTATTATTTTAGAAGTCGTTGCTTCACAAGATATGCGAATATGTCATGCTTTTTTTGGTTTTCTAGGTACCTTAAATGATATCAACGTTTTAGGTCGTCATCCCGTCTTCAATGAGGTATTGGAAACGAAAGCACCGAGAGTTAACTTCTCTATCAGTGTTAACAATTATAATTCAGGATACTATCTTACTGATGGGATCTATGATAATTGGGCTACATCCGTCAAGTCAATTCCATTACCTCAAATCATAAAAAAAAAAATCTACTATTTGCAAAGAAACAAGAGACTGCTAGGAAAGATGTAGATAGAGCGTTTGGGGGTACTCAAGTCACGTTTCACTATTATTTATGAGCCATCTTGCGGTACAACGTGATAATTGGAGAAATAATGAGAGCATGTATAATCATGGATGATATGATCGTCGAAGACGAACATCATGTTCATATTCGTCAATTTGATGATATTGATAATGATGTTAGTTTTACTATAACTATGCCTCAAATCTCTCGTAACATACTTCCTGAGTATGAAAACTATCTCCAAAATCACATACGAGTACGTAAACAGGTCAACAATTGTTTACAAATCAGGTTGATTGACGAGATTTGGCAAAAATTCGAAGAAGAAGAAAATGATGATTAATGTGATGTTTTTTACTTTGTATTTTAATTTAAAGTTTTAACATTTAATAATTATGTGTTTAAGGGGCCATTTATCAAACACTTACCCGGTAATTGCTTACTGGTAAAATTTAACACTATTATTAACTTATCGGATAAAATTTTAGTCCACCAAAACGACATCATATGCAACAATTTACCCGGTAAGCACTTACCGTGGTAAGAATCATTGCTCTCATTTACCGGGTCCTTGGTCACTGTCTCGCTTTTACCGGGTAAGATTATTGGTTTTTATCATATTCATGCGGTGAGGTAATGTTACATGGTAAACGCTTACTCATGTAAGCATTTGGTAAGCGACCCTTAAATTAATGGTTTAACATTTATTAAATGTATTGTGTTTAATACAATCTTTTGTTATTTGTTAATAAATTAAATATATGTAAATAGATTAAAATTACACAACACATTAAAATTTCATTTTTTAATGTATAATTATAAAAATT